CTTAGAGAGATACAACAGGAAAACCAACAGTGAAGAATTAAAGCAAAAGGTAAAAGCTTATTAGGAAATCATACAAACAAATCATCCCTGTTGTTATTGATTTCTGTAATCCAGAAGCAAGACAAGAAGCAAATATATTTTGACATTTCATCAGAAATATCTACCTGTGGCCATCACTAAGAATCATTTAGTCTCCATCTGGGGGGATCACTTTTACTGTCAGACTCTCAGATGGCCTGGCTGAACATGAATAACCTGGGCATAAACCAGCCTTGTCAGTTCAGTGATCTCTTTGGATGAGAGCTAAGACTACAAACTTGTTAATCATAGAATGGTTTGGGTTGGAGGGGACCTTAAATGTTCACTGACAGTCCTTCAAACCTGTGCTTATTTGAAGAAAAGGATGAATTAAAATGACTTGCAAATAAGTCTGAGCAAAGTTTGGTGCTGGCACGTGGGCAGTTCAGTTGTGCATCTGTGCTTGGGTATGACTCTGAATTAACTAATTAGCCTGTGCAGTTTGGTTCCCTTGTAGTAGAGTACAAGAGCACTGCAGTGTTGTTCTTTGTTCCTCAAGGAAGAGAAGTAATTCAAATGCTCAATTTCCCCTTTATTGGAATGTCTGCAGGTACCTAAAGCATTGGATATGTAATGTATAATTAGAAATTCAGTGACGTGTTGGTAGACAATCCACTGGGCTTCTAGAAATGATGGAATCTGGTATATACAGGAATAATGCTTGGGTTTTTTCTCTCTGTTGGTTCTAGAGGCTGGAGAGGACACTGAGTGTGTTCAACAAAGCCCATGAGTCTAATTTGCTGCCAGAAGCTCTCTATAAGCAGTGGGTAAGAGCTGACACACAGAATAGACTGGGGGGCTTTCCTGCCTTGGTTGTGTGCCTGTCTTTGCATTCTGAGCAGACACTGATGGGCAACTCGGTTCAAAGCCTTGCTTTTTAACAAGGTGTTCCAAGTCTCTTGTGGTGATGAGCTGTATCTGCTGGCTTTCAGCTTCAGCTGCTGCTGGAGTCCAACCTCTCTGAGAAGGCTGTGGAGGTGGCAGAAGCTGCGACCGGGCGCTTCAGCCTGTCCGTGGGCACGTGGCAGATGAGGCTGCAGGTGCTGATCCAGCTGAAGAGGGAAGATGTGACGCAGTGTTTTGAAGAAGCCCTTAAACACGTGAAATCCCAGGTCTGTGCTGCTTTATGGACTTACATGACACGGGCCAGAAACCTCTGATGCTTGGTTGCTGGGGTTTTTTTACCTTTACAAGGCATTCAAAGTCCCTAACAATTTTTAAGGTCAGATATATGAACTCAAAATTTCACATGCACATCACGTTGCCAAGTATTAGGGAACTGTAAATTCACTTCAAAGTCACAGATTTAAAGTCTGAATGCTCACAGGTGACATTTTGCATGCTCTCCTAGCAGTGAGCTGGTATTCTTTGTGTCTTGGTTGAAAAATGTGCTTCCTTTTATTTGCTGTCCTGACACATTGTGTGTGTGGTATTTCAAGCCTTGAGTTAGATGTGTGTTCTCTTACTGTTCCATTTCAAACCCTGGGCACAAGGAGTGAGGAGATGAAACAGGAAGGTGACTATTTCTTTACTTCTTGTTCTTGGAAGTTACCTTTGTACAGCAGTGCTCAGTGGTGCAGAACAACTTGTCTCATCCCTGGCAATACAGCTGTCCAGCTAAGAAGTATTGGGAAGGAAATGAGAAGTGATTTCAGGGTGCAGCCCAAAGTTGTCTTTCCAAGAGCTGTGCCTAAAGGACATTTTTACAGCAGCTAATACAGAACCTGGAGGATGTGTTGCTGTGTCTGTAAATCAGTCACTGTATTTCAGGCATTTGATGTATCTGCTCACCTCGTAGGGCACTTTGGCATTGTGGACCCTCTGGGTGGAATGGAGTGAAGGAGCAAACAGCAAGGAGGACACAGAAGCTCTCTACCAGGTACTGGGCTAATCAAAATCTATTTTTATGACTGTGTAAATAAATGGGAACAATGTCTGTGAATGGAGCATGTAACAAATGCTTTATACAGCACTTCTGTCATGGATGTGTTGATATCAAAGAATTTCAAGCAAAACTATGTGTGTTAGCAAAAATCAGTTGGACACAGGCTTATAGGCACAAATGTCATTTCCATTCTTCTGAAACAGAGATGTTTGTAAGCACAACCAGTGATGTACTCTTACTTTGTGGTCTAGAACTTTTGCTCTGTTTCAGACAACCTATCTGAATATGTAAGGGAGAATTTTACAATCTGTGTGAAAACATCAGTCTTGTTATAGAAAACTCAAGATCAGAACTGGGACTTTAATCTCACTATAAATTTCCTCAGTATCTTAGGGCAAAACATTTCCTCTTTGCCTGGCATGTTGGGTAGTGGGTTTTTTCCCCCTTTTACAATATAAAACACATATTTCAGATGGAAGCTTGAATTCAGCTGTTTGTAGAGCATTGGGAAACCCTCTGCATGAAGGGTGTTAAGGAAATGCCAGTTGCCAGCTGTGTGGATTATTGGAGGAGAAATGTACTTTAGACTTAGGAGATCTGCTTTATTTCAGATGCCTGATGAGGGCATGCCTTTTAATTGTAGGTATGTGGTGGTTTTATTTTTTGTTTTGTGTTTTTCTTCCCTTTAAACTTGCAGAGATCCTTACGTGCCACAACTCCTGCTGAATCTGTGACTATGAAAGAAATGTATCTTGACTGGACCTACAGAAGTGGTGGTTATAAGAAAGTTAAAAAAGTCTTTACCAGGTAACAAGTAAGACCTTCAAACCAGATTGTTCTAGGGTGTATGTTAAAAGACTTGAAGTCTAAAGTTACTTGTTTTATTTCAGCCTGTGTGAAAATCGTCCCTTTTCACTTGACTTCTTCAGGAAGATGATCCAAATAGAAAAGGAGCAAGTAAGTTGTTGAATATCCAATTAGTGCCTTGTATTTGTAAAATACACTTCTAACTTTGGATCTAAATAGGAAACAGAATGGTGTTGTCAGTCTGTGATCAGTTCATGTTTGTCTTCACGAGTTGATTCCCAGGATGTGATACAAACCCAGTTCCATGGTAACTAATCTTGGGCAGTGTGTGTGTGTGCATGTAATTGCCATGACTCTCTTCCTTTGTAAGAATCTAATCAAGCTGCAGATTCACTTCTGTACAAAATAAATGGCCTTTTAATACCTTCCTTTGTTAGGAATCCTGCAAAATGCTTCATCTGAGAGAATACTATGAACGTGCCTTGAGGGAGTTTGGTTCAACAGATACTGGTAAGGGGATTCTATTATTTATTTATTCATTCATTCATTCATTCATTCATTCAGTGCTGCCTCTTGATCTTTGAAACTCCCGGCAGGCAAGTGAGATTTCCAGGCTGGTGAAATCTGCAGGGAACAATTTCAAACGGTAGCTGCTTGTTTTGCCCTTGTGCTTGCTGTCATGCAGGGCAGAGCTTATTTCTTCTGTGCTATTAAGTGTAGGACACTGCAGTGACCCTCTGCTGTCAGCCCAGGGTCATGGGCACTGGGATGGCTTCAGCACCACTGGGAGCAAATCAGGTTTTGACACTGGCATTGTTGTATTATTTCTTAAGACATCAGTGTTCCAGCTGGGAACAGAACCCAGGGTTTTGCTCCTCAAGGTGCAGGACACTGTAGTTTCATGAAATAAGCCTTATTGCATTAACATCAAAGACACTTAAAAAGAGTTTCTAGTTAGGTTTGTTTGTTAAGTAATATCCAGTTAAAATATAACCAGAACTTCCATTTTTCTTTCAAAGATCTCTGGCTGGATTATGTCAAGGAGGAGCTCAGTCATCCCCAAGGCAAACCAGAAAACTGTGGGAGCATTCACTGGCGAGCTATGAAGATGCTGCAGGGAGACCTGGTGGAAGATTTTGTTTCCAAATACACTTTATTGCAAACTGGACATTTATAAAAAACTATAATATTACACATTACTGTTGTAATGTGACAGTGCATTTTTTTAACTTCTTTGTACAGAGGTAAATATGTTCCTGGATCTTATTAAAGCTTACCTTCTTTACATTCTGTGTGACAAAAAAAGAATCATCTGTTCCATTTCAGTTGTTTCTAGTGTTGCTTTTGCCAGGGGCAGGTTCAAGTGCACAGTTAGAGAAAGCAAAAGCAGCTCTGAGGGTGTTCTCATTGAGACTTCTGAGAGCAAATTCTTCATCCTGCCTAAACATTCAGACATTATAATGCATCAGCTTTTACACTCTGGAAAGCGAATATTACAGCATCTAAATGCAAAAAAACTCAAACCAAACCCCACAGAAACTACTATACCTGTGGGTGATCTCTGTATTTTACCAAGTTAAATAATTAAAAGTGGAACACTTCATTAGGTAATCAGAAATCAGTACAAATACAGTATTTATTGTATCCTAGCCTCAAAGTCATCTGTAATCCTCACAGCAAAAACAGAAGCAGCTTCTGCAGTCCCCTTGCATTGGTGTTTGCATCCTGAGAGTGACTGAAAGGTAGAGGGGAGCTGAGATCTGTTAGCACTGTCCCTGAGGTGAGAGCAGAAGGTTCTGATCTACACTTCAACTTTCTGTCCACAGTGCCTGAAAAACAGGTACTGGCTTTTTGAAACGGTGTTGGCTTTTTAGAGAGCCGCATTTTCCCATGTCAAACCCAATAAATCAGCATAAATTCTATCCTTGGATCAGTAGGGAAACGTAAGGAAAGTAGAGGAACATACAGCAATAGTTCCTTCATGTAATTTCCCAGTGACTGAAGGGTGGCATAATGACAATACAGGGAAATACTTCTTTAAGATTTTTCACTCAAATAGAAGCTGCAGCTTTCTCAAGCAACGAATTCCACTAACTTTTGACTAGCTGGAAAAGTTTGGAGCAGCAGCTTGTTAAGATTGCTCCTTCTGTAGCCAGATCTGAAGGACATCCTGCTTTGTCTTTCTCAGGATTTTAGCCAGGCCATCCCCTATGTCCCCACTAGTTCCCTGCCATCTCATGTCTGACCTTGAGATTTCCTTACTGATAATCACTTACACCCTCTCTGCCCCTTACTCTGTTACTCCTGAATCACTTCTTGCTCCTTCAGTTGCACAACTAAAAGCTTTTAAGTGCAAAAGGTTTTAAGCTTTTTTGTTTTAAGTCCAGCAAAGCCGGTACCTCCACCATTTCAGAAAGTGGGCCCCTTTTCTTCACCTGTTCTGGTTCCTCACAGAATTTTGCCACTCACGGCAGTTCCTGCAGCACCTCCCAGGGATACACATTCCCTGAAAGCTCATTTGCCTGACACCTGCCCGTGGAGCACCTGCCACAGCTGTTCAGCCCAGGTGCTTCCCATCTCTTCATGCTTTATCTGAGCATGCTGCCAGCACCAGAGGGAATCAGTTTGTTGCAGAGCTTGGGGAGGTATTGAGACTTCATTTCCAACTTCATGAGCAAAAAGGTATTTTCTCCCAGCTCTTAGGTCTGTTGTTTCTGGACGCAGTCTCCACTCCGTGGTGGTGTGGGGTCACGGATTGGGCTGGATGCCCTCAGGGGCTGGAGCGGGAGCAGCGCCCCCCTCAGTTCCAGCCTCACGCCCGGAGCCGCACCCGGTTCCTCGGGCACAGCCGCGGGGCCCGCCGGGCCGGCGGTGCCCTCAGGGGCCGGGCGGGGCCGGGCAGTTGGAGGTGCCGTGAGTGCCGGGCAGTGACGGGCGGCCCAAGGTGCCCTCAGGCGGCCCAAGGTGCCCTCAGACAGGGGCGGCTCGGCCGGTGCGGGGGTCCCGAGGAGCTGGGCGGGCAGCGGGGCCGCCGTGAGGGCTCGGCCGGAGCCCGCGCTCTGCCCCGACCGCCGGCCGGCTGCAGGCCCGGCTGCCCGCACCCACCGCCGCCGCCTCCCTGTGGGGTGGGAGTGCGAGCAGAACTCGCCGTTCTCCGCTCCGTGGGCACCGTCAGCGCGACCGAGGGTTTCCTGCTGCTCTCCCGCCCCTCAGCGCTGCTGGAGCGTCCGGTCTGCTCCTGCCCCTTGGCCTGTGGTGGATTCACTCTTCGGTGTTTATATTTGTTGCACCTTCATTACCACCGTTCTCAAACGGGCGCATTTTGCGTCAGTTTTGGGGCCCCTTCCCCGAGAGGCGGCAGCAGGATTGCGGGGTGAGGGAGGAGATGGGCTGTGCTGTGTTGCTGATGCCAGGGGGGACTGATGGCAGCAGCGGGATGAGCCATCCCTCGGCAGATTTCCCTTCTCAAGTGAAAGCCTGTTTGGTTTTAAACCTCTGATTCATCAAGGGAACAAATGGATGGGCTCTAAGGCGCAGAAACACTGAGCCGTGTTGAAGCAGTCAATGAAAGCTGCTATGGAATTCTTTAAAACTCTCTTGTAGGTGATGGCCGGTGCTGTTGACGCCACAAACTGTGAGGAGAAACAGCTTCCTAATAAGAGAGAAACTATGATCTGGAAGCCCAGAAAAGGTAGGACAAAACAAAGCAGATGGTGAGTAACGAAACTTAAGCTCTGCTTGAGAAATTTACTTAAAATCTTTAGGTGAGGGGTGGGAAATGCTCTTCAGTTACTGCACTAAATTACTTCCAGGTAGATATTTGTGTATGCCTAGGTGCAAGAGTAATTAATCAATATGACTGTTTTTAAACTAGAACCATGGTTTTTCAGCATACCTATTTTTTAAAAAAAATACCTACAGGTGAATGTGGTGAAACAAGAACTGCTGGGTCCTTTGCCCTAGTTAAAGAGATATTTTCCAACAAGAGTGTGTGGAAAATCCTGAGTTGGGCTAGTGCTGTGATGCAAGGCTGTGTTCACTGTTCCCAGGCATCTGTAATGTGAAGCAGCTCTGCAGTGATACTACATATGTAGGAAACTGCATATATTATAATTAGATTAGCAGTCACAAAGTGTGTTTGTGTACCTATCTGAATTATTGTGTGCTGAGCATTTAATATTCCTGTTTAATTTCTGAGTGTATCTCTTGATGCTTTCTCTTGGGTTTAGAATGTTTGCTGGACAACATTTCAAACGTTCCTGATAGCAAGTCTGAGGAAAGTGAAGCCTCTGATGCCCCTCACAGTGAAGGGGATCACAGTGTCTCTCCTGATGACTGGTACAACGTGCATGAGGGGGATGGTGTAGTCTCCAGTATACCTGACTCTCCAAAGCTGCAAAGTGCTTCTGAGCATGAGGTGGAGGACTGGGATAAAGAATTGGAGGAGTCTGCATGTGGTCCTTATGGTGAGTACACGTTTACTTGTGCTTCATTTGAATTTTGGATAGTAGGTGGTTGGAGGTGGGTGCTTTGCAGAACGTGTTTCAGTAACTCCATGCTCTCTTCTGGGAAGCAATTTCTTGTTTTGTTGACCTCGTGGAGATGTAACAATTCTGCACAATTTTGTTATCAAGCACAGGATTTAAAGGTGGTGTTGTGAAGTTCATATGAAACTCTTGCTTGAGCAGTCAAATTCTTAGGGAGTGGCATGGGAAGGAGGAGAATTCTATGTGTGTATTGACTCTCTGGGGAGAAGCAAGTTCTTAGTGGTGTATCTTTGTTATTCTGAAGCAGAAGATAAGGGTAAATGGCGTGCAGGAATGTAGCTTTTTTGGTGTAAAAGTTCTTCCTTTCCTCCAAGAAAATTCAAGATTGTACTCTGTAATGTCCCTCTAGAGTAGAGCATGGAGTTCTTTGGAAGTGCTCAGTCTCTGAGTAGGGTTTGTTGCTTTGGCTGCAGGGTTGGCTTGGTTTTGTTTGCTTTTTTGATTGTTGTTTTTTGGTGGAAGTTTCTGTTTGTTTGTTTGTTTGTTTGACTTTCTTGTTTGGTTTTTTTGAAGCTTGATCCTCTGAAGTGGTTGTGCATGTGATCAGTCCCATGGGCGAAGGTGGCAGGGCACAGAAGTGGGTTTATCCACATCTTTAGAGTTGAATTAATCCTCCAGTTTGTGACTTGTTTTTATGTTGAACCCAGAGTCTGAACCTTGCACTGGCCAGGCTGGCTGTTAGTGTAGAACAGGTGGATGGAGTTTAGCCAGCAGTGGCTGATAACCTGCTGTGTCTTTGATGAAAATAGTATATTTGCATTTTCTTCTCATTAATGTGTATCTTTTTGTAATTAATACACTTTTCTTTGCTTAGGAAATGTGAATTATCCGTTTATTTTGATTCCATAAATGGCTGTTGTATTCAAGTACCAAGTTTGATTACAGAAGAAAGTGGGAAAGTTTTTGCAGCCTTTCCATAAAACTGTTCTGATTTTAAAATGGAAACACAATATTGGTTTTTCACAGTGGGTAATTTGAGGAAAAAGACTGTTTCCTTTTTGGATGTTTTCCCTCTCTTCCATTTTGGGCTTTCCTTTAATCCCCCGTCTGCTCAAATTTATGGTATGTTTTGAATTTTTACTGGAACTGTCACAAGTTCTTTTTTTTTTTTTTTACTTATTTAACTCACTCATTCCACCTGTAGCTTATGCTCTTTAAATCCTCCCAAACTGAGCCAGCTGTGATTATGGGAGTCAGGTAGTGAGTACAAGTGTCTCAGTTGTTAACTGCTACCAAATAAAAGAAGGTGCTTGTTTGGTCATTTTATGGCTTTTTAAAATGTCTCTTTAAGCACTTGCTGTGGTGATTTGTTTAGCAGTGCTGCTGGAAGGCTGACAAGTGGAATACTGTGCTGGGTCCTCTGCTCCCCATACTCTGGGCTTTTCCTTTGCTCACTCCTCTCAGTATCTGCTGCCTAGAAATCTTTCCCTTCTATTAAAACACTTTTTGCCCAATTTTTGTGCCAACTTGGTTAAAAACAGGCCTACTAGGTTTAATTCTGGCCTAGTGGAAATGTTGTTCAGGGAGAGCTTTTACAGGACCCCACCCTCCCTTTCTGTCCAGTGAGCCAGTTCTTAAAGGCTTTGGAGGGCTCCTCATCGGGATGGGGATATGGAGACAGCAGGAAGGGGGAGGGCAAATAAAAGTAATAGTTTCATGAGCCTTTTATTCCAAGGGAAAATGTGAAAGAACTGCCTGCGTTGCCTGGTGTCAGATGGGCTGAATCCAGGTGTATCATTGAGCTTTCTGGAAAACTCTTTTGTCTGTGTGGCAGGAACCTTCCTTCAAATGAAGACACTGCCAGATTCAGCCTCTGTTTGCCTTTTTATTTAGGTCTAATTAATCAGTGCTGGCAGATGAAGTTGAAGTAGAGAATCGAAAGATGCTGTAGGCCTGCATAAGAACCTGCTAGACTATACCACTACTTTCCTGAGTATCTCCTATGGTTTAAACCTTCTCTTTTATCTTCTGTAGATGCTGATGATCTGTCCTGTGGAAGCTTTCAGGAAAATAATGTTTCCGCCTCATACGTGTGGAAGGAGGACTGGTTTTACTACCCAAGCTGTCACCACACAGCTTCCTTTGTTTCTCCACCACCAGTCAGTAAAAAGGTTGAGAGTGGCCAGTTTGATGATGCAGATGAGTGAGGCTGACCCTGGGCAGAAGTAAGTTTGGCTTCTGATTTGGAATGTGTTCTTCACTGACTGAGCTGTGTCAAGTCCTTTAGTTTGCTTGCAGAGTTCTGCCCAAGGCCAGAAATGCAACACCACCTCCCAAGTTTTGCTCAGGTGCTGCTGAACTGTTCTAAACTGCCCCCACTGGGCTCTGGAGACAAGAGTGCAGGTGCTGGCTGTGACAGTGCGTTTCTGGAGGTTTTGTTAGTGTTCTGTAGATCTATGTTGTTACTAATTAATTGCTTGAGAAGAAGTGTTCAGTTTCTAAACTCAGATTGTTTATTTGCAGGGCTTTGTGAGTTTTGACATGCTGGTCCCTGTGTGTGTAACTCTTAGTTTCCTCTCCTTTTCACCTGATGCTCTCAGATGGGTTTGGAGAGCTTTAAAAACTCTCCCTCCTTCAAGCTTCTCTGTTGTATTTCCATGTGGTTCTAATTCCCATTTGTGATTCTGATACTGCTTTTCAACAAAATGAGCTGTGGCAAATACAGAATGAGTTGTTTTGTGTTTATTTTTATCTATTCCAGTATAAAGGAATCACAAATACCTGATACACATTTTGCAAACGCACATGATGATACACAGTAGGGCCTGCTCCATCCAGTAGGAATGCTGGGTGCCTAAGGCTGCCTCCCAACAAAGCTTTCTCCACATCAGACCTTCTTGTTATATGGGCACATAACCCTGCAGTCCCAGTGTTGTCTTTATTACACTCTCATGCAGCATCAGATGTGGAATGACAAAGACATTTATATACATATTGTAGTACATAATCTGTGTGTCCTGCACAGTAGTGGATTAAGGTTCCTGATCCTGTTTGTTGTGGCAAATGAGATGAGAACACAAAATACCTCCCTCAGAGAGTAGCTGGAACTAGAACCATCTCCTCCTTGCTTTGCTCTGGAATGAAAGGGAATGTTCTCAGATGAAGTGTGTAAGTGGATTGAATGGCTGGTCACCAGCATAACAATAACCTTCACCTAATGCTCATGTTTCATTAATCACTTCTCTCTCAACAACTTTTCATGGCTTTTTTTTTTTTTTCCCCCCATGTTTTGACACTGAACTGGAGCACAGTACAACGTTGGGGTTTTGTTTTCTCATCTGATGTATGAGACCAAAATAATTCACACAGTGGTTTGGGAGGAGGAAGTGGATGACACAGTGATATTTCCTTAATTTTTTCCTAGAGAACACAGGACAAGAGCTTTCCTTTGGGTACCTTTCGATTCCTGGTTATGTGTTAGCACTTAGCAGTCGAAGTATAGAGTGGAAACCTGGTGTTGAGGTTGCGAGAAAGAGGGTCTGCTCTTTAATTCCTATATGGTGGAGTGACCTAGGGATTAATATTTCCCTCAAACTCAGTTATGCCAATAACTGACTCATCAGCCAGAGTAAAAGGGTTGATTTGCATTTAGAAATGCAATATTCATAAAGTGAGTGCAGCCGCACTAGTAAACTGTAAAAATTCCTGTGAAAAATCGCGGCTCGTTTTGTGAGCTCGTTTATCCCTTGCCCGGCCCCGGCTGTTGTCAACGCCCAACGCTTCCCTGCAGAGGGCAGCAGAAAATTGTCTGCCCTGCTCGGCGTGTGTTCGTCAGGCGGTGTGAGCTCCCCGGGCTGGGTTTCTAACGCTGGGAGCAATTCAGATCTGTGTTCTGCAGAGCCCTGTTGTTCCCCGGCGAGGCTGATTCATGGCCCCGATTAGTTTCTATCTTTTTTTTTTTTTTTTTTAAATTCACTCCCAAGTTGGACTGAAAAATCTCTCCCATGGCTGAGAGAAGAACATCACTTGACTTCAGGCTTAATATATTGTTTTTTACTGTGCTTGGGGGAGATATCCCACCGTATTCAATAAAGAGGAAACCAATAGAATTCTGTGGAAGCAAACCCATCTTTTGTAGAATTGTTTTAAAAGAATAATCAAAAAGTCTTTATAACACTGATTAGAGTGATTTTTTTTTTTTTCCTTGCAGTTCCAAAATTCCATCAGTACTGAATCTTAAAGCCATTTCCCATACAGTCTATAAATCAAGGTGTTTTTTCACCCTATACCTTTAATTACAATCAGTCTGGTCTGTCTCCAAGGTCTTATTCTTTGAGGAGAAATTGTGTTGAATGGCTGCTTTGCTAAGCTGTTTGCATTTTAAATGACTGTCAACTTTAAAGATTTGTTTTCAGTTTCCATTTAAGGTTAAAACTGCCACCACCCCCACACCAGGTTTGGGAAAAATAGCACGAGGGTTTTGCAGCAGAGATGTCCTGCTCTCTCCAGGGATATGTTGGCAAATATAACTTTGTTCATCTTAGCCCTGCTTGTTAGGGCAGGGGCTTAATGTAAAGCTTAATCTGAATACTCTCAAACTTCAGGGGGATTAGAAAACCAGATGCAGCCTCCTCAGAAAGCATCTGCCTGGGAGGATTTGAAACTGAGTTTGTGGATTCCAATGTTTCTGCTCTACAGAGTGTTTCAAATTCCATTGTGAATCTTGCACTGAGCCTGTTTTGTGTTGACACAAGTGTGTCATTCTAGGCAGGAATACATTGCATTTAAAACCAACAGAAGGCAGCATGTGAGCCAACAATTCACACCGAGAGTCAGCCCTTCAGCCTGCTCAAATTATTGGAGGGAAGAGAGTCCCATCACAGGACCAAGATCATAAATTTTGTATGCATACAAGAAACACACTGGCAGCACATAAATCAGCTGAAAACTTTTCAGAAGTGTCAAAGATTTCTCAGTGAAATGCACATACATCCCTAAGACAATTTCCCCCTTCTACACCCACATTATAAATGTCATTCAAAGGACAGAGACCCTGCTGCAGGTTAATATGTTTGCTGGGTTTATGTTGTGGGGAAGGCTTAGGAGTGGAGCATAATATGGTGGCTTATTAGAGCAGGGTACAACTTTGATGCTGTCCTTGCTTTTCTTCTTATTTCCCCACTTTGTAGGTAAAGCTAAAGATTCCAGCCAGTAAAGTGCTTCAAATTCACTGAGCAAGAAATTTTGTCTAAATAGTCAGGTTTTGAAAAACCAAACGGTTTTGCATTTTCTTTGAACAGGCCAGCAAAGAAATGAAAACTTGTTTTGGGTGCATCTGTTGTTTCCTTTGAGACCTACAGGCAATGATTTGCAAGAGGAAATAATTGAAGGAAATGTGTTCATATTTCCTGTTGATAAGGTACAGCACTTAATTCATACATCAGATTGAGTTAGGGTTTCTTGGTCTTATATAACCACAAAATCCAGCCTGTTTTAGTGTCTTTTAAAGACACTACTGCTTCACTTGTTGTTTGCCTCATCTTACAACTGGTGTGCTTTCACTCTTAAACTGAGAAAATGCCTCCACTGCTGAGGGGGGACTATGTGAGTAATTCCACAGACTAAAGGAAAAATGCTGATGGCAGCAGCTCATCCTGACCATCTGTTGCTTGCAAGGACACCAGTGTAAATCCCTTTGTAACAAAGGTCATTTTGTGGAGCTGGGTGAGTGTAGGCACAGGGAAGGAACGTGGGATACCCTCTGTGGGTCTGTATTGCAAACAGAGACATCGGAAGCTCAAGTATTAGAGGATAAATTTGTGGTGGAGTTGTTAGTCCTGGGAGTACCAGCTGCTCATAGCATGGTTTCCCAGCTTGGCAGGAGAAACTGGAACCTACTAAAAAAAGCTGCAAAGGACACAAACCCAGTAATTGGTTTTAGTGATGGAAAACAGCTTCCTTTAAGCACTGGGAACACAAATCCTCAGCTGGTACAAACTTTGGTGGCTCCTTACCCAGGCAGAACCTCTGTCCCTGTATATCCCCTGAGCAATGCCTGTGTCATCTCTGAGCTAAAGGTCCATGTTTAGGGTTTCACTGTTGCTGTGGGTTTTAGTCCTTAATATAATGGGCTTTCCTTCCATTCCTTGTAGCTCTATTGACCTTCACAGAGCAAACCCCATGAACGTGGCTCAATGTCTACATTTCTATCGTAGCAGGTTGTATTGGGTGGGATTTTTCCCACTTTGATGGTAGTTTCAGGGCATGTAGCAGGAATGAGCCCAGGAAAGGGTAACTTCCTATAATTCAGCAAGTCTCGAATGTCTGGCCTCAGTTATTTTAATCAAACCATTTCTGATCTGCAGGATTTGAAGACTTGAGTTGTATATGTAAGTTGTATCTATTTGTTTATGAGCCTGAGGTCTCAATTTATTGTTTTATTTCCCTCAAAGGGAAATACTGCTCAGTCCTTTTTGAGCTGTTGGTCCTTAGTATGACTTACATTGAGCAACATGTTTTCTGTGAGATCTGGAGTACCAGAGGTTCTCATTATGCTGCTTTGTAGTTTTAATCACTGTAGCTATTGTGGGCTTATGTTCCAACAACAAAGTTGTTTAGTATTTCTGCCCCTACCTCAGGAACTACTCCAAAACATTCACATTGTCACTGAGGAGTTCCTTTGGTTACTTAGCAGGTAGTAGAAAATACTAAAATTATTTGACCTCAGATAAAGGACTGTCATTTCATCTGTAATCTTCATGCAGACACCGCAGTAAATATGCCACATTGTAATATAGTTCTGTCTGGCTACAGTTGGTTGGGAATTGTGTAACTCCATCTCCCATGTTACATGCTCAGCTGTTTCTGGGGAAGTGAATAGGTGTGACAGTGAGATTAAACAGGACCTGTATCCCACAGCAGAGAGCACAGCTTCCTTCTAGGTAACTGGAGATTCAGAGAGCAAGGAAAACTCTTCTAGCTGAGCAGGCCTTCACAGTGTTGGTGACAGTAGGGTGGTAGAATTGGAATAGCAAGGTCAGAGGAACAACTGATAATTCCACCAGAAGCATGGGCAACAAATCAAAATAATCTGGTACAGGAATCTGAGTTGCTGCATTCTCCTTAGTACAGGAGAAGGACATGTAAGGGGACTCTGAAAGTTCCGTTTCAACTGTGGTTAACTCCTTATACCAGAAGCTGAACTGGGACAGGTAATCTGAAATGGAAGCACAAAGTGGAGCCTGCAAACAGCCACATGCTGATTGAGCCATCATCATTTTCTTGTCTGCTGTCACCACTGGGTCTGCTGGAATACCAGACCCCCCTTGTTCTCAGTTTATCAGTACTTTCAGTTCCAGGTTCTTCAAACAGGCCATTATCTTCCTGGTCTGAAACACCTTTTACCTTCTGTTTTATTTAGTTCTAGCTTATCTGCATCATTCATACTTGATCTGTTTGATTGGGCCTCCAGCTCTGCAGTTTGTAGTTTGACAGAAGTCTGCTCTTTCCAGTGGGATTGGTCAGACATTATAAAGCCAGGCTGAGACTGCCTGTCTGCTAGATAAGAACTACATTTAGTTCTGTTATCTGCACTTGTGTTGGTGGGTGGATTAGGTTTAATTTGGTCCTTTGGAGAGAAGTGGGCAAACTATCCCTCAAACAGATCTGGGATTTGGTTTAAGGACAGGCTTTCTTATGTGGTCTGTGAAGTGCCTGGTAGCCCTGTAGGAATACTTTGTGTCTGGTTCCTGCCTGCAATTTGGAATGCTGACTTTAATGATCGTGCTTCTAATTATGTACAGAGGTAGAAATTCTCGGATGAAAGAACGGGGAAGTTCATCATCTGTCCCATTAAGGGCAGCAGGGTTTCTGTTGTGCAGAGCAGTGACTGCCCAAAACTGGCACCTCATACCTGCAGTGAGGGGAAGCCCTTCTCAGATACCCTGGCTGCCAGGGCACCTTCATCCCTCCTCAGTGTGCAGCTCTGACCAAAGGGTGTATTGAGTTCTTGTCTGAGCCACATCTTTGTCACAGGTCACACGCTGTGATGTCCTGTACCCCCTGACAGGGGGGAGCTGGGGACGTTTGTCCCGGGTGC